CCTTGGTCCCACAAGCATCAATGAATCCTAATTTTCAGTGGTCTTAGTATTACAACCATGTTTTTGAGTTTTTAGCAGCCTATCCTTGTCATTGAATAGCTCTAGTTGTCTTTCCTGAGATGGAGCACCCAAACCAGCAAGTAGAACTCTAGGGAGAACTGGGCACTGGGGAATTTTCAAGATAGGTCAAGTGTATTTTAAATACTCTCTGCCTCCTTTTCTGATCCCACTTGTAGAGAAACAATATATTCTACTCAGGGGTGAGGTAATGTTTTGTTTTCTTCCCAAGGCCCACCCCAATGATGCTTAGTGCTTTTTATTCACTCCTGAATTCAAAAATATTTATTGAGCATTCACTGTGTGCCAGGAAGTGTTCTAGGTATACACTAGGGAGTATACCTAATATACAAAAGAGATAATATTCTGCCTTCTTGGCATTTATTTAATTTCTTTCTTTTCTTCTTTCTTTTTTTGAGGGGGACTGGGGAAATACTGAGTGTTCAAATTTATAGTTTCTCATAGTTTCTTTTTGGCCACAGATCAACTCTCTTATTTATAAGCAGCCAATTTTCTTATAAATAAGAGCCAGATTAATTTCTGGGAATCCTTGATACTTTTTTTTGTTTGTTTGTTTTTACCTATTTTAATAAATTATGGCATTCTTCGATAACCCTATAGGTTTCATTATTGGGTCATTACCAAAGTTACTACGTACAAGCAGGTCTGGCACTGACTAGTCCATCTGATCAATAATGCCCAGTTCAAGGAAATGCCTTTCCACTACTGCCGACCTTCCTGATTTGCTTAAATTTAAGAGAGGCACCTGTCTGGGGATGAAGGGTCCTGGTGATGTGTGTATTTTTCTGTAGCACTGAACTGAGTGGATTCAGAAGGGTGCAGCTTTGCAGTGGGTGTTCACAGTTTGCTGCGGCCTCTGCCTCAGCTTTCTTCCTTCACTTTTCACCTCCCACCTCCTGCCTTGAGCACTCGAGGGAATATCTGGCCAGATGCCATTTAGTATATTTTGCTAAGTGTTTTGAGGTTCTGATCTATAAGAGACTGACCAGCCCTGTGGATGTTTTTCTTTCAGAGGAAAATTTGCCAGTGAGGCCTGTGATTGTGAGTCCATCTAATGAGACGATGGAAGTAGTCTTGGGTAAGTGGACTCCCATCAGGATATGCTGAAATCATTTTTTTTGAAGTCAAGAATAAGTCAAGAATAAATTGTTCCTTTACCACATATTTACTGAATATATCTATAATTAATGGGAAAATGACACAAATTATATCTTAAAATATTTATTTTGTAATTTCTTGCCTCTGTGGCATAAATCCAGCCATGTCTGGTTTTCCTACCCCCACTTTCCTATGGACACTTACTGCCCATGAAAACACCAGCCAAAAGCCAAATTCAGAAGACCTAGGAATGAGAAATGTAATTTATTTGACTGATATAACCTGGATATCTTATGACCAGAGCTAACTTTTTAGTCAGAAAAGTAAGCTCAAAAGCCAAAAAGATGATAGTAATTCTAGAAAAATACTTTTCCAAGTTAGTGAAAACTTCTTATTTTAAGAATAAAGAACCTTATAAACGTCCAGACTTGCACTGTCCAATACAGTAGCTACTAGCCACAGGTAGCTATGCACACGTAAAATTAAATTGTCAATTAATTCATTTAGTTAAATTAAAAATCAGTTCCTCAGTCTCATTAGCCATATTTCAAGGGCTTAAGAGCCACATGTGACCAGTGACTGCCAAATAAATAGCACAAATATAGAATGATTCCATCATCACTGAAAGTTCCATTAGTCCAAATATCAAAACTTATTCTAGCATTAGAGGAACAAAAATCAGGCTTGCCTTGGAATTCTCTTCTCTAATAGTAACTGCACAAAGACAGTGAACAACTCTACAGAGATTAGAAGGTACATGTTTGTGACCTGTGAATTCTGTACTTGGCCAGTACTGCACTTGTTGTTCCTGGTGGAAGGTAATATAAAGATGTTCTTAGACATAAACAAAGATGTCCAAACTTAAAATTAAATATGGGCCAATAGAATCTAGAGTTGTGTTTATTAACCTTTTTTTCTTTAAATCATTCTTCTTCAGAACCTAAAAAGATTTGTTTTCCCCTAATCTTCTTCCCTTCTCAGAATTCCAGTCCTGTGGTCTATTGTACATCTGTTCATATGCTCTGGGCCTTTGGAGGGCTCAAACCATTGTAATATCTAAGATTTTCTTGCCCCTCCCCAAGAACTCCTTTTTGCAGTGTTGGTCGTAGCCCCTGTTGAGAATGCTTGCTCTGGAAGTATATAATTGAGATCTCTGAAGCCCAGGTTGCATTGATCTCCAGTAAAATATTTCCTAATAAAAATAGTTTCATATTAGGAAATAATCATTTTAATATATCACATTGACAGTAGATCAGAAGCACATAGCACCCTGTTACAGGATTATCCTAAAGGGTGTCAAACAGGCATTCAATAAGATCCAATACCAATTACCAATGTCTTAGAAAAATAGTCATTGAGGGATACATCCTTAATAAATAATATCAATGCAAACCAATAGTCACCAACATTCTTAATAGCGATAGACCTCACTGAAGTCAAGAGCAAGACAAAGATGCCCATGAAACCAGTATTACTTAACATGGTCTAGAAGTGCCCACTAATGCCATCAAAGAAAAAAAAACCAAGGTATGCTTACTATAAGGGAAAAAAAATATTTTTATTATTATTTTCTTGGCCTGGGTTAAATAGCTACCTTGAAATAGAAATGAATAAATTACATTTTCATACAGAAAAAAGATAACTCTGTGGGTTGAAAGTGAAGTTCATCCAAAATGTCCTGTCTTAAAATAGATGCAAAATTCAAAAATGCAATGCATGATGTTTATCTTAACCCTCTTTATTTCCATGTTCTCTTACACAGAATACTGCATAATGTGAGTCTGCCTATGTGTACGTGCGTAAATGTCAACCAGGAGCTCGAACAAATTTAACCTTGATTCAAGCTCGAGTTGAAAAATGGCTGTAATTTTGACTTCTAAAAGTTATCTGTTTATTTCCCTTTCTCTGTTGATAACTCCTAGTTGTAATACTGAAATCTTATAAATACGGCACAGTTAACTTACAAAATGAGCTTAGTGTTCTCAGGGCAGTGCAAGTTGAACAACACATAATTTGGCACAATTTGGTGGCCTGAGTTTAAGACAAATACGAGACTGAGAAAGCATAGAGGGTTTTTTATTTCTAAGTGAGTTCATGTAGTGTACACGAGTTGAACTGATCAGAACCCCCACGCGGCCCTACCTCCGCCCCATCCAAGCTGTGCAGTCCTTACGCTTTCACAAATGTCGCATTCACAGTCCAGCGTTTCTCCTTCCCAAATAGGCATGTTGTTGTTTCGAATTACCATCTGTGCTTCGGCAGAATAGTGAATGCCATCTCCTTTTGCCCCCCTGGCTCTGATGGTGTCCCCAAGAGGTTGGGAGGGCAGAGTGACAAGGCA